CTTCTCAGCATAGTGATTGGCACATATAATAAGCCTACTATTTTATCACTTTTTTCAAGACATTTGATTATTTTCCTTTCTTTGATCCACATTTATTTATTTATTTATTTGAGAAAGAGTCTTGCCCTGTTGCCCAGGCTGGAGTGCAGTGGCATAATATCAGCTCACTGCAACCTCTGCCTCCCAGGTTCAAGTGATTCTCCTGCCTCAGCCTCCCAAGTAGCTGGGATTATAGGTACCCGCCACCACGCCCAACTAATTTTTGTATTTTTAGTAGAGATGGGGTTTCACCATGTTGGCCAGGCTGGTCTCGAACTCCTGACCTCAAGTGATCCACCCGCCTCAACCTCCCAAAGAGCTGGGATTGCAGGCGTGAGCCACCACGCCCAGCTGTTTTTAATTTTTATTTTTCAAGATAGAGTCTTGCTGTGTTGCCCAGGCTGGAGTGCAGTAGCATGGTCTCCACTCACTACAGTTTCCACCTCCCAGCTTCAAGCATTTCTGGAGCCTCAGCCTCCTGAGTAGCTGGGTTTACAGGTACATGACCCCATGCCTTGCTAATTTTTATAATTTTAGTAGAGAAGGGGTTTCACCATGTTGGCAAGGCTGGTCTTGAACTCCTAAGCTCAAGTGATCTGCTCGCCTCAGTCTCTCTAAGTGCTGGGATTACAGGTATGAGCCACTGTGCCTGGCCAGATCCTCATTTATATTCCCATTCTTACTCTTCTTTTTTCAGCCATCTATTATTTTAGAAAGAAAGAAAAAGGGTACTCAATAAGTCATGCTCCTTCTGCTAATTGTTTTCCTCTTTCATTTTTAGTAGTCTCTAAGTATAGATTCTACAACAACCCTCAAGATCAGGACGTGTCTTTTTGTGTACCTCTTGCAGGAATGAGAGACAATCAGGGGTCTGGTGGGTGAAAGATAAAGATAAACTGAAATAGGTAAATTCTTGTTATCAATAACTGAAGGGTAATACAATTTATATTTTGAGCTTTTGTAATGAGAGCTCTCTTTTCAGTCAATTTCATCTCATTTATTTTTGTCAATACGAATGGGTTTCCAAAACGCTTGGAAAACCTCCCTGAAGAAAATAAACTGTATTATCTCCTTTGTTATTGTTTTTAAACCCTTTCACCTGGCTTTACCTCCTATCCTTACACCGAAACAGCAGCATCATCTCCTTCACAAAGAAAAAAGGAAAAACTATTGAGATTAAAGTATAGTTTTACAGCAACTTTCTTGAAAAGGTAAGTTAGTTAAATCATGGGCAAAGAAAATACTAAAATTTATACGAACAAATGCGTGCCTATTAAGCAACACATTAACTGCAAGCAATTTCATATGTAAATTACCTATAATTTGAATGCAATTTTCTAAATTTTTTTAATGTGAGTAGTTCCAAAAGTTCTTTGGTGTTTAATAACATGTGCTATTATTAAGACAGTTGTTAAAGTGCAGATGTTTTGTTCAGTGCCTGGCCCTTTCAGTATACTGTCTAAGAGAATGTTGTTACTTAGAACTGAAGCTAACTGTCTTGGGCCTTTAGGCTTTCTTTCTCCTCAACATTAATTATATGTCTGATGCTTTGGTAGGCAATGGAGACTCAACTGTGAACAAGTCAGATACAGCCCTACTCTTGGGTTGTGCAGAGTCTAGTCACACAAATATTCAAGTGTCTGGTGTGAGTCTGGCCCTGTCCTGGGAATTTTAAAGGAAAAGATACTCCATGTGCTTGAAGAGCTTCTGAGTTCTTATCCTCTTGAGTGGTATTTTCCTGAGAACTTCACAGCAACTTACACTGACCCATCCACCTAGTTTTCTAAGAGAGGGGAATTGAGAACACTGTCAGTCAGCTTCTTTTCATTTAAAACTAGGAATCCATTTAAACTGAGGAAAATCCAGGTGTCAGAAGATTGGTTAAAATAAAAGATACAGCCGGGCGCGGTGGCTCAAGCCTGTAATCCCAGCACTTTGGGAGGCCAAGACGGGCGGATCACAAGGTCAGGAGATCGAGACCAGCCTGGCTAACACGGTGAAACCCCGTCTCTACTAAAAAAATACAAAAAACTAGCCGGGCGAGGTGGCAGGCGCCTGTAGTCCCAGCTACTCGGGAGGCTGAGGCAGGAGAATGGCGTAGACCCGGGAGGCGGAGCTTGCAGTGAGCTGAGATCCGGCCACTGCACTCTAGCCTGGGCGACAAGCGAGACTCCGTCTCAAAAAAAATAAATAAATAAAGTAAAATAAAATAAAAGATACTAACTCTGCCATAAAGAGTTTTAAAATTGTGCTAGATTCAATCATACCATTTTTGAATAAGCTAATACCATATTGCCATATGTTCTTACAGTCATTTCAAATATGCAGACACATGGAATATGTAAATTCTAGGTAGATAATGAACAGCATAAATAAAAATCATAGTAGCTAAATCAGTGGAGGCTGTTCTTTAATTTTTATAGATTTAATGTCCTCTAAAATGGTCTCATTTATTCAAAAAGGGAATTTATAGGGTTTGTTGTATGGAATTTCCAAAATCTCATAATGGAAGAAGTAAATATTATTTATTACTTTAATACTAATTTTTATAATATCTTGTATTTAACATTTATATACTTTTACAAAAGTTCAGGGTAGGAGTTTGTCACGAAAAGACACTTCTGTGGACATCCTGATAAAAATAAAGAATTCTGCAGTAGGTTTAGTAATGTTACTCTGCTATTTCAGAAGTCATGTTGAAATGCAATTTAGAATAGAACAGTTTAGAAGACAGTAATCCATTTTTTTATGGGTTAATAATATGAGGGAAATATCATGTAGCATCAAGTTATTTGGGGGAGAGAGGGCTTGCCTTTAGCAAAATGTAAAACTCCACTTTCCTTTTATTAAATCCCTATCTTCTCTCCAGGCCAGTTCTCACCTTCCACCACCACCCTACCTATGTGTTTCCCCTGATCTTTTTCCCGTACAATAGAGAATTTTGTTAAAACAGTATTCTTGGAGAAAGTCATACCACCATATGTACCTTGGCCTACTACAAAAATCAATCTCTCCTATTCCAACTGGGTTCTCATTGCTGCTAGGTTATCTTGATATTGATCTCCTGTTTATTCCCCAGCACACTTCCCTTAGCCGATGCTTCAAGTCTCTCATTGCTCACACGTCTAATTCACTACTTACCCTTTCCATTCTCACCAGATAATAACCATCCTACTTTACTGAGAAATTCACAGGTAACTGGTGTGTTCTTTCTCATTTCTGTTATCTCTACCTTAAAGCAGCAAATGTTTATTGAGTATCAACCATATCCTAGGCAATGGTATGCCAATAGTGATGTAGCTGACTGTCTTCATACCCATCATATCCAGAACAGTTCCTGGTACATAGTAGGTGTCCAATAAATATTAAAATGAAGGTACCTATGAATGAAAAAATAGATCTAGTGGCTGAGATGCTTTAGCTAGAGGAGAAGGAAAGTAAGGAAGCACGCAATAGGTGTTGTGACCTCCTCAGATGCTCTTTCATGGTAAAGTAGGATTGTTGCTGTCAAAGGAAGAAGTGTTTTTTATTTCCAAGACTAAACTCATACCATCCCTTCATGCTTCCTCTGTGAACTTGATTTGTCTCTCCCAAAGGAGGACATCTTCACTATACCTGAACACATATACTCATATGCTCACACACTATATACCACCAGCTTCAACAACTAAACCTCTACCATGCCTTGTTGACTGGAAACATCCTATTTTCATAGTTCTATTTTGCATAAGTCGTTTGCAGTTTCTACAGTATACTCATTTCCTTGCCATCCATGTTGTCTCCCTGCATTTTTACTTCTGTTTTATTACTCATATTTAAAATAGGTAAAATCTCACCTATTTTTTCTAAGACTCAGCTTGAGACTCACCCTTTCCACCAGGCTTTCTCTGGCCCCCTCATAACTGGAAGCTTCCTTGAGAGAGCTAGCATTGTCTGTGCTGTTCTTATGACATATATCATTACCTGCTGTCCTAGTTGTTTTGTGTTGCTATAACAGAATACTACAGACTGGGTACTTTATAAAGAAAATTTTATCTGGCTTATGGTTCTGGAGGCTGGCACTGGCATCTTCTCAGCATCTGGTGAGGGGGTGCCGTGTCATCTCATAGTGGAATGTAGAAGGGCACAGAGTGTGAGAGCAAAAGCAAGCAGGAAGGGGGCCAAACTCATCTGTTTTATTAATATAAGGAATCCACTCCTATGATAACTAACCCACTCCTATGATAACTAACCCACTCCACCCACTCCTGTGATAACTAACCCACTCCTGAGATAACTAACCCACTCCTGTGATAACTAACCCACTCCTGAGATAACTAACACACTCTTGTGAAAACTAACCCACTCCTGAGATAACGCATCATCACTACTTAAAGGTCCCATGGCTTAATACTGTCACAATGGCAATTAAAATTTAATGAGTTTTGGAGGGGACATTCAAACCATAGCATCTGTTTTCTATTTCCATGCAATGTCATAGATTTCATTTCCCTAACATAATTAGGGTTCAGTAAATATTGGTTGAATGAGCATTGATAAACTGAATACCTTCAATGAGAATGGCAAAAGAAAAAAATGATTAAAGTTTTACAATATACATATTTTTGTATAATAACTCCAACAAACAATTTTAAATGCCATTTCTATTCATGTCTTATCACTCAAATGAAGTTTTCAGAAATTTGTCTGGTTTCAGTCTTAGCTAGCCAGACATTGTTAGAAATGGTGATAGTGATATCATCTTAGTTCTTTCCTTCTATTGTGGGAGGAAACTAATGTCTAATATAATATGTGTTACAAAAGACTCAATTTATCCAATAAAACTTCAAGACAATTTCAAAGGACCTCTGAAAGACTGATTTCTGAACCACTTCCAAGACATATTACTTAAGACTACAAATGAGGATTTCTGGTTTGCTTTCAAATGGTTCTGATGTTCCTCATTTTGTTATGTTTTTCAGTTGGTGCTGGTATCACTGTACCTCTCAAATAGCTTCCCCATTTTGACTAAGAATGAAGAGGTTCTTGGATAAAGAACTTGTAAAAATCAGGTACAATAATAAAGTTGTGAATGGTTCTTGGAATTTGCTAAAATGAAATGCTGCATCTAAGTGCAATGTAAGTGCAACGTCTTAGCCGTGTAAGATCATTATCATAAAGTAATCATCGTGATTAAAAAAACCCTAATTGAATCATTATTCTTTCCAAAAGATCAGAATTCTAAGAATACTTCTTAGAAGCTCTCAAGTTTAATATGGAGTAGGAAATATTGCAATGAGTCCTCGAGTGAGAAATTAAAAAAAAAAAAACAGTTGTGCCATTCTTTCATTATGCTTTTTAATCATTTCATTATTCGTAACTATACAGTACTTATGTGTGGTGAAGGATGTAGTCATAGAGGAATATATCTGTCAGCATATTGATATATAAAAGAGAATAAAAGTAAAAAAATCAGTATACTCAGTAGGTTCTCATATTTCATATTTGAAACTTTAGATATGTGTTCCTTTTTTGAAACACATGAAAACATTTATTTATTTATGCTATAAATAGGTAAAAACAACTCTTAAATAGATCAGCAGAGCCAGACCAGCGATTTCTTATCTTGACTAAATGGACATACCAACAGCAAAATAAAGTCAAAAATAGGCATATAATTTTACAGCTGCATCTATGAGGACACAAATGATATTTTAATATTCAATCAGAAATATTACTTACAAAAGTTACAGAAATCTACCACTAAATTTTCTGGTGGTTTAAGATTTTAGTGGAGTCTGTGGAGTTTATAAAATTTTAAAATTTCAAATTAATGTGCCAAGTGTGAAGGGGCGATGCATACCAAAGGGGAGAAAGAAATGTAATTGTGAACAACTCAGAAGATGTTTGAAGGATCTATAGAGCTTAATTCTTTACCTACCAGTTTCAGAAATGAAATGCCTAATCTAATATACTTCTGGATCATATTTGAAGATGCTTTAATTTAGCCAATCATTTTGTTTTTCAGTCTTCTCCCATTTTGGCATACTGTGTCCCACCTGGACATTAAGAAGTTATTAGTCAGCATTGGAGAGGCTGTGCTGCAGTAATGAATGTTGGTGGCTTAAAACAGGGCAAGTCTGTTTCTTACTCCTTTTACATGGTGGCTGTAAGTTGACCAGGAACTCTGCTCTACATTTTCCTCATTTAAGGACCCTGGCTGAGGAGGGGGCTCCATCTTCATTCTTCCACAAATACTGCAGCAAAGAAAAAGTAAAATGGCAAATAGCACACAGACTATTAAATCTTCTCCCTAGAATGACTATTTGTCACTTCTGATCACACTAATTGATTAAAGCAAATCACATGGCCATGTTAATTTCAAATGGGGTCAAGAAGAGTAATCCCCTCATGTGCCTAGAAGGAAAAAAGCCAGAATGTTTAGTGCACTAATGATTTCCACGGGAAATTTCCACAGGAAAGATTAGAGATGGCAACTCTTCTAACCCATTCTTAGTTCAAGCCAGATTTCAGTGTGGAATTTCTTCCTTTTCTCGTTGTAGAACTCCAGGAGTATAACAATGGATGATAACTCTCTTCAGGGATTTATGAGAGAATAGTATATGAAGCATTAGGATCAACTGTTTTACTATTCATTCATTTATTTATATGGTCTTTCTTTTGCCCCCAAGTGAGAGTTGAAGCCAGCTGGACTTCCTGGGTAAAGTGGGGACTTGGAGAACTTTTCTGTCCAGCTAGAGGATTGTAAACGCACCAATCAGTGTTCTGTGTCTAGCTAAAGGATTGTAAATGCACCAATCAGCACTCTGTAAAAACGCACCAATCAGCACTCTGTAAAATGGAGCAATCTACACTCTGTAAACTGGACCAATCAACAGGACGTGGGCAGGACCAAATAAGGAACTAAAAGCTGACCACCCAAGCCAGCAGCAGTAATTGGCTGGGGTCCCCTTCCATGCTGTGGAAGCTTTGTTCTTTCGCTCTTCACAATAAGTCTTGCTCCCGCTCACTCTTTGGGTCTGCACTACCTTTATGAGCTGTAACACACACCGCCGCGGTCTGTGGCTTTATTCCTGAAGTCAGCGAGACCACGAACCCACTGGAAGGAAGAAACTCCAGACTCACCATCTTCAAGAGCTGTAACACTCACCGGGAAGAAGGTCCGTAGCTTCATTCTTGAAGTCAGCAAGACCAACAATCCACCAGAAGGAACCAATTCCAGACACACAAGGAGGATATAATTTGGTAGAAAATATAGGTCTAGGCTCCATGAATCAATTAGGAGGGTGAGGCTAGCCATCATATCATTCAAGTGAATGGTGATAGGCCACATAATGGAAAAATAAGGACAACTCACGTCTGTAATCCCAGCACTTTGGGAGGCCAAGGCGGGTGGATCATCTGAGGTCAGGAGTTTGAGACCAGCCTGGCCAACATGTTGAAACTCCATCTCCTAAAAAGCCAAAAAAAAAAAAATTAGCTGGGCATAGTGGTGGGTGCCTGTAAGCCCAGCTACTCAGGAGGCTGAGGCAGGAGAATTACCTGAACCTGTGAGGCGGAGGTTGCAGTGAGCCAAGATCACGCCACTGTACTCTAGTCTGGGTAACAAGAGTGAAACTCCATCTCAGAAAAAGAAAAAATAAGGACAGATGAAATTACATGAAAGATTAGTGTTAAGTGGAATCAGTTAAGAACATTTTGTTGAGAAAGTACACCATTAAGTAGACACGAAAGACTAGATTTAGATTGATAGAAAGAAGAAAAGAGGGTATTTCTAGTCAGAAACACAGTGACTTAAGAGTCCAGAAATGGGAATGAGCAAGGAAGAAACAGAGATGAGATTTGCTCAGTTGGGCAAGGATGAGATTAGAATCGAAGTGGCATATCAATTCAGATCAAGTTTTCTATGAATTGAAACATGAGGCTAAAAAGTTCAGATGTTTAGAAAAGATTTGTTTTGGTAGGCAACACTGACAAACTCTGGATTCAACCAAAGCCAGAATAAAAAAGTGTTTTAAGTTGTAGGAGTTTTATGGGGTACATGTAAAGATGAGACTCCTAAGAGGCTGTGTTTTGTCACGAATCTTGAGAAAGTTGAAAACAGGGTTCCTTTTCAACCTTAAAGAACTTCAGTCTGGTTGGGGAGATAGTGTTTAGTCTTTGAGTGAAAATTTTCAGGTGTAAATTTGGTCATGGAGAGAAACTCTTTCACTTTAAATAGTTAAGAAAAACAAAACCCTAATTCAACTATCCAAAAAAGTTTTGATTATTTTTCCTGGAGATAAGAGGTTGGTTTAACTTATGTCATAATGATAAAAATACACACATACATCATAAAATAGAAAATGTACACATGCTACCTAATAAAAGAGCATGTTGCATTTTCAAATCATAAATACAAATTTATTTTGTTCTGTTTATTAAAACATAAACCATGGTTTCATAGGACAAGTATGGTCTTTAGAAGGATACAGACCTGAATCCAAATCCAAGCTCTGCAACTTAGTAGAAAAGTAGAGAAGGTTAATTCATTTTATATCCCAAAACTCAGTTTCCTACCTGTAAAATAGGGAAAATAATTGTACCTGACTCAGATGGTTGTTGTAAGGATTAAATAATAAAACATTCATAAAATACTTAGCACAGAATAGGCATACTGGCAGTAATGATGATGATTATATATAGGCAGTTTCTAAATATTATTTAATTGAATTAAATTTAAGGAAAGGTTTCTTAATGTCTTTATATTTATAAGGATTATAAACTTAATAAATCCTAATTTGCTATTTATTAACTAAAGTTGACTTCATAATTTTATTTATATTTTATTAAACAAATATGTAAAAAGAAATAAGAAAGCTTAAGTCAGAGAATACATTGTTATATTTCTGAGGTATTCGTGAGTCTTTATTGGTTTTGTTCCATTTGTTGAGCATTGTATTCAACAAATAGGAATGTTAAGCATTACACTCCTATTTTGCAGATGAGGAAGCTATACAAGATAATAATTGCTTATTTACAAAGTTAGTTGAAAAAGCAGTCGTTTCAACTTTTGCCACTGGTTTGGATTAACTACTATCTTGATTTCTTTATCCCCAGTAGTTTTATAGTACTTGCCTTTTAGGTTAAAAGTTGTAGTTTTGAGTGTGTCGATTTTTAGATTGTATCCTAACAACTATATTTTAGTCAATCTGAGATTCCTAAGAACTTCACCACTTCACAAAATTGCCTTCCTGGTTCCTTCCTCATATGTGTACCACACTTTAAATATAGAAGAATTGACAGTGTGATAATCACTAAAATGAAAATGAAGAAATAAAATAGAAATTCTTACTTAACAACTTAAAGGTAGTAATCATGAAATTTTAATTTGAAAATGTTCTAAGAACAGCCATATACCAGTATGCACATTTTAATGTCATATATGGTAATAGGGCCATTAGCGTAATGAAGTATTAAGGTCTGATATTTCCTCTGATTGGATAGAAATCCACAGTGTGGAAATAATGTTCTGAGTCTGAGCACTTATGAAAAAATAAAAAATGCTAATTATTTTTCTGAAGTATTTACTTTGGTGGTTCCTCAAGAAATGGTCCAGAGTTTCTGCTTTCCTGGAGAATCATTCACCCCATTACCCCTCTGGCATTACTGATCCCAGATCTTGAAGTGAAGAGAGAGTGAATGTGTAAGTGTATAGGAAAAATGGCTTCAAGTGACAAAGTAAACCCTTTTGTGACTCAGTTGGACCAGGTAAGTATTTATTTCAGCCTTAGTGTTTCACACTAAGGCTGGGCAAATGCGTTTGATAAGCCACCAAGGAAAAGATGGCCTTTGTTGTTAATACTTGAGTGCTGTTATGCCATACAAACAAACAGAAATCAACTCCCCCCCCGCCAAAAAAAAACCAGAGAAAAGGAAAGGAAAAAACTCCACAGCTTAATATAAAGATTTTGTAAGTGTTTGGCTGTTTTATCATTTCTCAGTTGAAACTACAGGTTTTTGTTTTTTTTTTTTCATCTTTCTAGTTTTACACACAGCCCAAAAGATGGACATTTGGCAAATCATAATGGACTGCTCCTTTCCCAGGTATCTCCTGTTTGTTTCCTTTATCTGTGAATAGGAAATGGCTTAAAGGCACCTGTGTGATGAAGGTCCCAGGGGCAGCTGCCTGACTAGTGAATGCCTGATTATGTGTTAACATGCTTTGTCAGATATTGGCAGAATCTGTTCTCTTCTTTTGCCTTTTCAGCGAGGGTACCATTGACAGCCTGGCTACCCATTTATAGAAATGTTGTCCATCAAACTGTGAGGAAGGACAATAGTGTTTTTCTGTGGCCAGTGACTGTGGGAAACTTTTCTTTGGCTATTCAGGCAATTTTTGTAGCTTGCTCTGAAGAGGAGAGACTGATGAGTGCAAAAAGTACAATTAAGCAAAGCCAGACTTCAATTGAAGGCTGTAGTGTAGTCTGCTGCTCTCATTTTTTTTTTTTTTTTTTTTTTTAGAGGGGAAAAAACCCTATGGGTTTTCACGTTGCTGTGTGGCATTCAGCGGGGGGCTATTACAATCCTAAATTTTTTTTTCTAGACCACCTAATTCTAAGTTAAAATTAAATGTAATGAGAGCCACTTGGAGTTCTGAATATTTTAAAGCATAATTCCCACAGAAGGGATTCGACCTAAACTGCAGTGAGCATCAGTTGGCTAATTATAGCTGCATTTTATATTACAGCAGGTGTCAGATGCAGTCATCTCAATAAAGTCCACATAATACTCTGGAAAATAACAAAGACTTTTCTTTCAATGTGGGTACTAATTTCTTCTAGGTGTCATATGAGCCTTGATACTTCTTATTGGCATTAACAAGAGCACTGCAGCACTCAGAAATGCTTTTTGCTTGGGATGAATTGATACTGTAAAGCACTTACCAGTCAGAGTTGGCAGATGTCAGTAGTTAATACTAGTGTTGCAGAGGTTGGAATATAATGCAAAGAGTCTTATGTAAATACTCTTAGATGATGGGCTGGTTTTGAGAAGGCGCCTGAGCACTGCACCAACTCACTTAATGAAAGTTAAATAGATAGCAGTGGGGTATCTGCATTTACTTTGGCTCCTGCTTTATTGAAAGTCCTCCAGAAGTAAAGGGCAGATGGTACAGCAGTAAACTAGGTGAACAAAATACCCTGGACTTGGATAACGACTTGTTATGTTCACAGTGCTTTCCTTGAACTTGTGTAGGTGATTCAAATTATTGAAGTGATAGCAAGTACAAAAGCATGCCTGGAGGTAAGGACTCTTTATAGTATTAAAAAATAAATTTAATTTAGAAAATATGTCTTCACTTGAAATACAACTGGACAATGGGTTAGGCAAAAAGAATGTTACTTTAAAATCAAGACATTTGTTCTACACTGCTTCATTCTTCTAGGAAAGTGACAGTTTATCCAACCTGTTTAGTCACATTAGTTCATAGCAGATGAGATCAAAATGAAGGATCTATTTAAAATCGTATTGTGGAATACCAACTAAAATACAACAGATGTGAACTCTTTACACATATTCCGTTCTGGAATCAACTCTGGGTTTTTTGTTTGCTTGTTTTTCCTTTTAAAGCTAATTCACAGCTAGCAAAGCAAAGATGGGTTGCCCTTAATTTTGATCCCCAGAAGCAGCTTTGGGTTCCCATTTTGGCAGATTGCAATTTATATATATCTCATAGCAAACCCTGTAGGGTGTTGTCAGCAATTAACTCTGACATCAAGGAGTTTAACAGTCATTCAACGTTGATCCAATGATTGAGCACTGGTAGGCACAAAGCAGCATGAAGCCCAGCAGTGAAATTTAAGATGAGAAAGATAACACAGTGTCTGTCCCCAGAGTGCTGACTATCTATTCACAAGAGTAATGTCCCTAATAGCTCTTTTGCAGATTTCTGTTAATTTTTGTTTCGATCAGATGTCCATGGACTTTGATAAAGCCTAGGACAGAATTGTGAAATAGTGTAAAAAGTCACAGAGAAATCACTCCAAAGGAGCATAGGTAATCTGCTAATGACAAATTATTTCCGCATAGTACCCACTCTTAGTAATGTTCAAGTATTTTTAACACCAAAAGTCTCAACTGTGAATAATTTTTATTTCTTATTTTTCTTACATGAATGTATGATTTGTTTTTTATAGAAAATTTAGGAAACATTTAAAATACAAAAAAGAAAATCCATATTTCTACTACCTAAGCTCAAATCACTTTATTCGTATTTTTGTGTGTATCATGGTTACTTTTTCTCCATTTATATACATATAAAATCCCATTTAAGCAATGGAATTTTACTATTTTATAATCTTTTAAAACAAACCTCATGACATATTTATAATATCTTTTTAGTACATAGTCTTCCTCAACATCAATTTCAGTGCTTTCACAATATTCTAGTGCATGGATATGCCATACTTTATTTCTATCATATTTTAGAACTTCCTATTAGTGCACATTTACCTTTCAATTTTTTGCTACTATAAATGATACTGTGATGAATATGCATGTAGCTAGATTTTTTTTCCCAAGTCTATGATTATTATTTGCTTGTCACTGCTAGTGGAAATGCTGGATCAAATGACCTCTCCAATTTTAATTGAAGCTACAGATTCTAAGACAATTTTCATAAAGAAGGAAAATACCTTTAGCATGAAATTTTTAATTCTTTTCATCTAGGTCTCATATTTTGTTAATAGACTTTGAATTAAAAGTCAAGAGTTTCACATAAAATACTAAATTGTGAGTAAAACAAGATCTTTCAGTCTAACTAGGAAATCAATCAGTTTTTATCTGATAAAAAACATAAGGTTTTTGGTATAAATAGGATCTATACACTGCACTTAAAATATGCAGTGCCTGGGCTGGGCGCAGTGGCTCATGCCTGTAATCCCAGCACTTTGGGAGGCCAAGGCAGGTGGATCACTTGAGACCAGCCAGGACAACAGGGTAAAACCCTGTCTCTACTAAAAATACAAAAAATTAGCCTGGCATGGTGGTGGACGCCTGTAATCCCAGCTACTCTTGAGGATGAGGCAAGGGAATTGCTTGAACCCGGAGGCAGAGGTTGCAGTGAGCTGAGATCGCGCCACTGCATTCGAGCCTGGGCAACAGAGCAAAACTCCATCTCCAAAAAAACAAACAAACAAACAAACAAAAAAAAACAATGCAGTGCCAGGCAGCACAGTGTAAATATCCACGGTTACCGGGCCATTATTTAGATACTTATGTGGAAACAGTTCTGGTATATATTTAAATGTTATACATGTAAAGAGTCCTGATGTACATTTAAGTATTAGATGTATATTTTAAAACTAATACTACGCCATATTAAATGGTGAGTTCATTTAAAGAGTGAAAAGGCCATCAGGCTTTAAGTGTTTCCAGTTTAAGCCATCCAGTTTCAATTGGCCTTAGCTGTGACTTAGGATTCCTTTGGTACATCAGTTCTTCCTATGCTTCACACAAAAATTAATCTAAAATCTTCATTCTTTCCCAGGCTAATCCAAGAAGACTCTGGAATTAGAGAGACTAAAGACATTCATTTCTGTTTTGCATTAATAATAAAATATGAAACATTTTTGCTTTAATACAAAATCAGGGATAGTAAGTGATGTTGGAAATATTGCTGGGCTTTACCTTCTTTCTGAGTAGGGTACTATAACCATAATCATTAATCTTAAAAACTTGGAGAGGTTAACGGATCATATAAATCCTGCATCTAACCCACAGAGAGAGCTGAGACATTTCTACTTTGGAATATTTTCAATTAGGCCTCTGTGTCCTGCCTTAGTAATGTCATAATTTAACATAGGCTCTAACTTCCCAAATCTAAGTTATTTCATATAGTAGGCAGAAATTGAGAAGATTGCTTGACACTTGGCATTTCTGCAACAGCCTGTCTGGGCTATCTGCCACTTGTCTTGGGGGGAACCACTTCTTCCCCACCTCTAGACATTAGTGGAGTTTAACATCTGAGTGTGGTCATGGAAAGAGTGACTGTGGGCATACCCTGAGGTTTCCTCCCTGAAGAGCAACGTCAGAGTTTGAACACTGGGGCATAGAAGGGAAGGAATTCACTAAAATAATCTAGCCAGTCCAAATGAAGAAGCAAATAACAATAACAAAACCCAGAGCAGGGAGAAAAGTACGTATCTTATGTAATCCTCCTTCTTAGACATGATGGTTGATTCAGAGATGGGCAAAATACCAAAGCAGGGCCAAAAAAAGCCTTCCCTGACATGTTTTATGATGGGATATGTTGGGTAAGATTTCTCTCCTCTCTTTTTGAGAGGATCTGGGGATGTGAGCTTAGGGCTGCTGGCAACCATGTCGCCCATCGTACACGGAAACTTCCTGCAGTGGGAAACAACAAAGCTAACATGCAGGAGAGAAATAGAGCAAGAGGCAAAGGGTGAGGAGCAAGACCAAGAGAGAAAGCATGCAAGAAACAGCTGGGCTCTGCTATTTGTAGATGGACACAAATTCTAGTTTGAGATAACCTGATTCTAGTTATCCCAAAGGCCAGCTTCAGTGCCTCTCCTTGTGTTGTAGCTGCATAAGCCAAGCACGTCTCCTTTTTATCTGTTACATAAACTAATTATAATTGAGGTTCTATTACTTTCATACAAAGTCGTAGCTTTAAAACATTCTCTTTCTTATTTATCTAGCCTGAGAAAAATCTCTAGCTTTTATAGTGAAAAAATAGAACTTTCTCTTCCTAGAGCTCTTAACTGGGAACCAAAGAGAAATCCTGACAGAGCTCACATGTGAGAGTCCACAAAATATTATCATTTTTGTTTTAATGACTGTGTAATTCTCATGTTTATTTTAGTTCTCAAATGAATGAATTCCATCATTAGTTGTATAATCATTTATTGATGTTTTTCCATGTGTAAGGGGCAGAAGTAAATAAAATAACTCCCCTTAACTTCAAGAGGCTTACAGTTTAACCATGCTAGCAAATGCATCTCAGGGTATTGCCCTAAGTTTAACTTGTCAATTCCTTTAATGCCCACAACAATCCTGTAAAACAGGAGTAATTATTGCCTTCTTTT